TTTTCTGAGTATATAAAGCTATAGGTGCTACACGAGAGTAATGGTATTTGCCAACGCACGCGACCTCCACTGTAAATACATATATATATATATATATATATATATATATATATATGTACGTCCTTCAAGAGAGACGTTCAGACGAATGACGAATATTATATATTTATATAAGGGCACGTCGTATATTATATGTGCAACAATATTTCGGAAGCTTCGTGCTTCCTTTAGAAATACACACGAACGCGACATACTTAGCTACTCAAGATGAGAAAACCGCGACATATTCTTTATATTTATCATATTTCATCGGAATGTACGTCACATTTCTCGAAATGTCATAAACGTGCTTAAATTCGCAATTCGCTAGAAATCTGTTTAGTGTGCATTAAATTAAATCAATTTTATAACATCCCCTTAGAATTTTATTTAAAAATGTTGCAATTCTAATTTGCATGAGAATCATACAGTTTCAAATTATAATAAAATCTATTATTAATTTTTCTCTTTATGAAAATATTTAATGAATATTATAGGGTATATATATATATATATATATATATGTATATATATATATATATATATATATATATATATAATTTATTTTTCGCATTATAAAAAGTTAAAAAATTATTTGAAATTTTAATTAAAGTTAACTTTTTAGAGTAAAAACAATGTATTACAATGTAAAAGATCCTGACAATATAATCAAAACAGAATATAATCAAATATCATATTCAGCTCTTTAAGTGAAGTGAGATTATGCTTTGTCACAAATGTATTTTTTAATCCACAGTAAAAACAACGCATATAATCTGATGATTTTTATTTCATTAAATTTTAGAACGGATAAAAAAAATTTGTAAAAGACAAAGTCAATATTTTTGTGCACGTATGCGTGTATTTTGCACAAATTATATCTTGAAAAAACATTTGACATGGATAATATCGATTAGCGAGATTGCATATATAGGAAGTTATATTATGTATATGCTTATAATATTGTGCAGAGAGAATATTTGAAAAGTACGTGAAAATTCTTCCGGTTCGTCATCTGATGTATTTATTTCACGTATATCACGTATCTTACTTTCTGCCGTAACGTGAGAAATAAATTCTGCGCTGCCGATGCAATGCCCATAGGAATTAAAGCTGCAAACAATCGCGGTCTCATATGCGTGACTGCGATGCAGAATCGCGCACACATATTTAACTTTACTATTTTTATATTTGAATTTCAACGGATAAAAATATGCTATTTTGCACATTTTTTTCTTGTTATTTAAAACAATATCAAATTGCATTATTGTTTAATTGTAATAGAATAGAGCAATAAATTCACAACATTTTTAAAACAAATTGAAAATAGCTGTTATTTTTATTTGTTCGCTTGATTAATTTTGAATCGCACAATTTTTATGTAGCTGTTAATATTTAACGATTATATGTTCCTTTTTTATGTTATCCCTCTGCTATATTTAATAAAATACGTCGAATTCCTGCTAGGCTATACATTTTTTAAATTTTACAAATAAATTTGTACTTCACGCGAAATGATGTTAATTCAGGCTTACACAAGTGGGCTATTCCGAAGAAACCGCTTGAGACACATTGCACATTAAAAAATAAACAGCCATCACAGAAAACTTGCTTCTTAACTTTCAGTACTGCTCGTTGAAACTACTTTTATTTTAGAAAATTTACAATTTCTCTCTTAGGCTCAGCAAAATCGTGAAATTAATATGTATATATTGTAAAATATGAATAAGAGAGATAGAGCACTTTTTGAAGAATAACAGAACAAAAATAATTTTTTTCAATAATAATACATTTAATATAATATATAAGGAATTATTTAAAAGACAAAATAACAAGAAACATTTATACAAATATATAGAAACAGCATAGGATTGATTATATTAATAAATAAGAAACAATCAATACATTTTTATTACAGATTCTGATTATTTAAATTTACAATTAATACGTGTTAATAATATTACCCTATTAGTCATTACTGCAAATACTACAAAATCGCTCGTTTTTGCGCGGGATGCGAACAGTGCAGTCATCTTCAGGATGAATTGAGAAAGATGGTTCCTTGAAGAAAAAGTGATAGCGTGAACTGCACGATGAATGTCTCGAGTGAAAAAGAGATTATCGCAGGTATGTTGCAATTTCATCGTAGTACGCGAGACGAAGAGAAAGCAACGCGAGAAAGCGAGGTGAGGAAAACAAGAAGCTACAAAATTGTTTGCCGGAGCACGGACAGCCGAGCATGAGGGAGAAAACGAAACGCTTAGCAGGCGAGGATCTGATTTACTTGCTCCAGGTGGATGTAGATTTCCGCCGTCGTTGTTGCTTGTAGAAACCCGACGCCTCTGAAACACGATGTTGCAGGAAGCTCTTAAAATTCAGCGGTATAACCCCAGTGACTGGTTTGCCGAAATTTCACAATGCGCGATGAAAATGTTCGTCCGTGAATAGGAAACGAGACGAGGATGTTACACCTTTTTGTTCATTTCACCAGAGATCGAGGAACAATACACTGCGTTGATATATAACATATTGCACAAAATATTGATGGAATAATGTTTTTTTAATTTTTCTTAAAATTGGATAGATTGAACAGTAATGAACAGTATATTGGTCTTAATAACGGATAGAGTGATTAATATTTCATGCATATTAAGCGCAATCAATTTGATTCTGAATCAATTAAAATCATCTTTCAATGAGTAAATGTGATCAATATTAATTTATGATTTGTTTAAAAAAACCTATTAAGTTATTTAAAAGAGATTTTTTTTTTTAATAAATGCAAATTTTAATTCTTGATTTTGTTCCAAATATTTATCTATTTTTATTCTTGTGAACAAACAGACACGAAAAGGTACCTAATTTAATATTTTACTACTTTTTACTGAACTGAACTTTACTTCGAGCAAATGTAGAAGCTGGTTATATACATACCCTTCTTCGCAAAAAGGACGGTAAATGGAGCGAATGAATTTTGATCTTATCAGTGCGCGGTTATTCTCGATAAGAATGGTGCACCCTCTATCTAGTCTCCAGCTGAGTCTAGAAATTTCGAGTCTGATAACATCAGAATACGTGTAAAACCTGATGTTTATGAGCCGCAGACAATCGCAAAAAGTAATTGGCACGAGAACTCTTTTTTGAAAAATATCAGATGCATTCAAGAAAAATAAATTTGTTGAAACAGTTGAAGTTAATGAAAATTAATGAAAAATAATTTATTTTGCCTTTATTTCTCTCTTCTAAATTACTTGTGAGTCTTTAATGTTTTCATATTTGTAAAATAAAATTGATCTCCTTTAATCGATATGCTAACTGTGTATAATATGCTGTAAATGCTGTTATTAATGTATTAGTAATAGTAATAACAGATTGAAAATAAATAGACTGAAAATTTTCCCCTAATTTTTGCAAGAGCACATTGGTTGTACTTTATTTAAAATACACTATTTTTTCTCATTACTTGCTACTTGGTATCGAGATATACGGTTCTGGAGATCTTTCAAAAGTACTTTAGACCAAAGTGTAGGATAAAAGCACTTCGGGCAAAAACTTAGCTTGTCGCATCCTGAAATTGAATGAAGGGAAAAGACATCTTGTAAGGCATTGACTTAAAAATTTGCGAGCAAAACTCTCATAAATGCCAAACACAACGAAAGCTTCTTTCAGTAAAATAGGAAGACTTAGTTGCCGAGACACAATGAATAGTACAGTACATGAGGTTATCACGCTTTAGAAGAAATCCCAAGGGAGAATGTTATATACATATATCAATGTTATAAAAGAACACCTTAAAAGAACACTCTTATTGAGATGCTTTCCTGTTTGAATGTCGCACAAGATACAGTAGTGTATATACGTATACTATCAAGCTATTGCTTTCTTGCATCCGAGATGCAAGGAACGAAAGGAGTATAAAATATACGAAATAGTAGCTCTCTCTGTGTATAAAGTATATTATTCCATTATTACGTCAACTATTTTAAGTGCTCTTACGTTATATTTACATTAACGATGTCTCTCTAAATTCCATCTTACGTTTGTATGAAATGTATCTATTATTTAAATTAGAGAAATTAGAAAATAAATAATTTTTAGATTCTTAAATAATAATATTCATTACATAAAGGGATACAAACTCGATTACAAGAATTATTTTATTGAAAAAAAACAAGATAACTAATATATTTATATTATTGTATAATTAGAAACCCTAATTTCATAATTTATGAAATTATTTAAAAGGAATATTATTCATATTAAATGTTATCACGATAATCTGCGTAGCAGTTAATGATAACAGATTCAATAAAAAAAAAAAAAACACACAAAGACCCCGAAGAAGGAAGATAAAAATCGATACATGCGCGCTTGTTAATTAAAGCGAATTATTTTGTAAATGAAGTTATCTATATTTTCGTCTGAACGATATTAAGTATTAAATTTCGTTAGTTATCGGCTGTTGAAAGCTGAAACGATAAATGGCGAAAAGTTAAAAACGCACGCATATGAATTTGCATCGCGTACGTTTTCACAAATGGAATTCGAACACCCATTTATAGTCGCACCCCTTTTCGCACGTTCCACTCATATATCGTTACTTTATTCGATCGCGAGTTAAAGTGTGAGTTACTATTATCTCGTGGAACACTTCTTCATTCTCTTTCTTTTTCGAGTATATTTGAATGCTGTGATTAAAATCGGTGCGAATTGTGCCACAGCGTTCGCTTAAAAAGTTATATTACAAAAAGATTATATAAGAAATTTTCATATAAATGTCAATATCGCACTTAATTGTTTAAAGCATATAAATTTTACGGACAATTTTTAGTAAATGATTTTATGTCGAAACTTGAACAGTAATATATGTTTAAAAAGCATCTTTGAACAATCTAAAAAGACCAACTATATTGAACTTAAAAAAATATTTCCCTTCTGTGATCGATTTATTATTACTGTTTCAGTTACTGGAGCGTCCACGGGAGAGGCTGAGGACCCGCGGTGGAGCACGTATAGCACCCGAAAAACGAGTCGATCATCGTTGCCGCGATCCTGGCCATCCTCGAGTTTGGAACATGCCGCGAGGGAAACCAGACTCTCGAACGGCAAGCTTCCGGAAACTACATCTTGGAGCGTAGACAGATCGAGCCCCGGAACTCGTTCGGATCCGAGTTTCCTAGGAATGGTGATCGAGAGGTCCGAGGAAGACGAAGATGGGAGAAGGGTACAGCAGTCACTGGGGAGCAATGACACCGAGGTTGCGAGGAGGACACGCTATAACCCGTCCATCTCGCCCATGAGCGACAAAATGAGGATCCAGACGGATCCGTCCAATCCGATTTCCATCGAGTCATCTTCGACGGTCGGCTATCATCTCGCCAAGATTTCGTCGGTTCCTGGAAACTCCTACGACGTAATTCGTACCAAATCTTATATCTATAGCTGGTAGATTATTCGAAAATTTGGTTGCGATTAAGACTGCAGATATACCATATATTCCGAATAATCATTTCTTCTCTTCCTTATTTAACGTACAATTGAATTTAAATTGAAATTATAATGCACCGCGGTAATAATCGCATCAATTATTATTCCAATTTTTGTCGCTGATAATTATAATGCGCCAATAATCGCTTCAATTATTCGAATTGTTTCGCTGATAATTAAGTAAGATAGAAATATATATCCGTGCAAATTTTCAATAGTTTTACAAATCTCTGCAAAAATCAAATATATCTATTTGAGCTTTATAGTAGAATCATGGGTTATACATTACACAGAAAGTTATCAATAGTGTTAGATTATATAATATGGATGTCGGTATTAGATTATATAACAAGGATTCCTTCACGCGATATCTCTCATCGTAACAACGACATAATAGTCGTAATTATTCAACGCCGCTTCCAATATCGTAATACGAGCGATAACTATAATTTAGCATTGTCGAAATACCAATTGCCCAAAGCGGAATTGGGCTTCCGTTTAATTAACGGTTTGATATCTCGGTATTATAGAGCTTATAGTCTATTGATCGTATAAATTTTCAATCTTGCGCAGTTCAAATTAACGCGATGCGTTAAGCGGCGATAAAAACCGTGAAAAGCTTTTAAAAAATTATTCATAAAAGGAGCAAAGATTTTTCATTGCACCGCTAATCTTCGATTTGTTGAAACGACGTTGCATGAATTATGAAAGAGCCTTATATAGATACTGTTTCACGCGTAAGACGATTATAAATTTAAATGTGACTTTACAATCTGTGCAGATAGTGGCGACGTCCGAGACACGACCATTATACGAGACGCTTTTGCGCGAGAACTTGAAAAATATGACACCGATGACGACCTCCATCATGGTGTCACGACGTCAGACGAGACACATCCCGGGCAATCCCGCTTGCGACAAGTTTGAAGTCGGAGATTCGACGAAGAGGGAATTTTATAGCCCGAATTATCCGAAGCAGTATCCAAATCACACCGACTGTTATCGAGTTTTGGAAGGTGAGTGATTCCATTATGACACAAATATACATATATAATTGAGTTTGAACTGAAAAATACAAATTAACAGGATTTCTCACATCCTCCAGAGAAATAAAATTTAATAAAATGTAAAATCACAAATGGGATAAATACGCGATAAATAATTTTTTGAACGTTTCACGAGAATAATTTCCTCCATAATTACAATAAGTAATATTTGCATAATCATAAATACTGCAATTAACTGCGTAATTAAATATTTATGAAAAAGGAGAGTGAAGCATTAGCTGCAATATAATTTTGTGTTTGGTTGCGGAATCATTATAATATTTGAATTAATCGGCGAAGATAAATAATTTCGCTGGCAATCGTGCGGTTTGCGTTAAACCGCCGCGTACTCGCATCGCTGACCGGAATATCGTGAGTGCAATCACTTTCGCGACGATGGCTCGATAGATCAATAATCGATTCCCCACACGTACATATCGTATCTTTCTCGAGAAATCGATTTTCGAGCGAGCTTCGAAGGGAACTTCTACAAGATTGCCCGCGGTAAGAACACGCTAGCCAGATTTCACTTTACAGCCGCGCACCGTTCGCCGATAATGCGAAGAAAAAAGGCGAGCGTGTTGGAAAGGCGAACTCTTCCCAGATGAGGGAAACCTTTGATCCCCCGATTCTCCCGTATCTCGGGACAAATGTTTTGAACAAACATTGTTTCATTTCGAGCGAAATTCTAGTAAGGTAAAGAGCGTTAGAACGTGACTTATTTTTCGTGCGTGGAATATATAATAGGACGATCAGGGGTTATCATCGATAGACTTCAGAGTATGAATACATATTACGATGGAATGCAATAGAATTCCTATTCTATTGTAATATATATTTGTATAATACAATTTGTGCCTTATAATGATGGATACAAATTTATGATACTCTCGCGTAAACTTAAAATAAATGGTAGGAATGAAATGAAATTTTATTTGATGAAGAACTTGATAAAAAACTTTGTAATGTAATTGATTATTACAAGTAATATTTTTAAAGATAACACACAATGTACGATTTTATCTGAAAATACTGTAAAAGACAGAAATAATGTTATCAAGACTTCATTCAAGAATCTATTATTATGTAATTATCATAAATCAAATTGAAAGATACGGTACAACTTTTTACACTGTTTTAACTGTTTTAAAAAGGTTCATAAAATGATTCATAAAACGATTTCAAACATGATATTTCCATACAATATGTTACAATGAGTTTCTTATTTGAAATTGAATAATAATAAAAGCATAAATATTACAAGATAAAAAAAATGTTATTTGAAGTAATCTATTTAGTTAATGATGGGTGATGATAGATTATGATGGATAGCGTCTTTTGCAAAAATGCTGATGTGTTGAAGGGTAATGACAAACCGAATGATAATGACACTTTGCTGAAATTACTCTCATCTACATTTGTTCTATATTATGAAACTTTAAAGTTTAGTATGCTCTATCTCGTTTCATATGTATAAGTTTAATGCAACTTGAACATAACTGAACTTTCTGCAAGGCTAAGAAGGAAAGAGGGGGAGAGATTGAAGTGATTGATACACCCTGGTTCGGTTCGTTGGCTAAGGATATCGTGGGAGGATAGTAAATTTTCCCAGACTGGCCCGCAAAAGAAATCGAGGAAAACGAAATTCTCTTAAAATAAAAGAACGCAGGAAAGCTTTCTTTATTTTAATGATTCTCTTTGATTAGAATCTTTTTCATTGATGTAGCTCAACAAAATTTAATTAATAAGCTATTACGTTACTGAACTTTAAGAAATAATTATTAACAATTACTAATAATTATTAATAAATATTACATTATCATGTTTCTTTCAACTATTAATAACAAAACGATATAAAATGATAATATTATCAGAAATTGATAATTCATCCATCAACGTTCAATCAATGAATATAAATAATCAATAAATAAGATAAAAAATGTCACGGTAAATTAAAAGTAATCTGCTTAACGTATATTCTTTCATTATGCGTCGTTATCTTTCAGTCAAGAAAAATAATGCTGCAACAAACGATTTCTCATTTTATGCTCGTATACTCTCGAATGTAGCGACGCGAGACGATCCTAGATAGAAAGTCGAGAAAAGGAAAAAAATTGGCAAACGTTCGGTGAAATCATAAATCTTCGCGAATTCAACCGCTCTCCTTGTCTGTGGCTGCACGAGAGCAATATCTCGATAACCAATCGATGTATCTACGAACGACCGGAGAAGCTGCTTGCAGCCGTTCGACGAAAAATGTCTCCCCATTCCGAGTTACGCACGCGTACAAAATTCAGAGGATTTGGAGATCATTTTATTTCTTTTGCCAATTATAGCTATTTATTTATAGAATGTCAATCTATTCATATACGAAAATTTAAAAAAAATTATATACACAGTATAAATTTATTGTTAGATTGATGTTGAAACGGTCGATGCATGTATAATAGTTAATTGTCCATAAAATTTACAAATAAATTATGCTTTAATACATAGAGATTTATCGATCTCTCTTTTAATCCGGGCTCTCGAAATGTGCCGGATTGGGCAATGGGCAGCAGCTGGCTCTTGTTTGAATTTGAGTCAGGGTCGGCAGGGTTTACCAAGTATCTTCGCGTATACACAAATAGCTACCGCGGTGATTACGGATTCCCAACCAAATCTTGCAAATGCCGAACTAGTACGCACACGTTATAAACTCCGTCAGAGTCTTAAAACTGAAAAGAACGGAACGAATGAAGAAGAAATATATATATATATATATATATATATATATATATATATATATAATATACAATTATATTTTAAAAATATCGATGACGGTTCAAAGCTGATACATTTACTATTTTCTTTATGCATAATAATTCCATTTTGATGTGATTTAATTTTTAATTAAAATTACGTAAAATTAATTAAAATTTAATATTAATCTAAAATCCTTTATCATTAATGTTAAAGCAGCATTGGGCTTTTTTGAGATTATATCTAATTACAACATAAATGATATAATTTAATTTAATATAATTTCTTTTATATGTTGCCATACTTTCTGTGATACATTCCACAATTCACAGATGTGCATATTGATATGATTCAAATCGGCTTTTTACTGTTCTGCTCTAAATTTACTAACAAGTAAGAAATTATAATTGGCTCGAAGAGACTCGTTTGTCATTGCATAACAATTGTGATTGGGCTTGGAGAGGAGAGATTATAGCGCATTAGATATTCTATGTAAATTATGTCATGTAATTATCTCAACTTCGACCCTGGAGAGTAAGAAAGTTTCAAACTAGTAACAATCATTGCCACTGTATTTTCTGACATTTAGTGTCGACGATTCTAATTTATCGACAGTTAAACACCAACTCGAATATATTGCAACAAAAAATATAATATCATATGTCACATGTCTATTAATGTAAAAGTTAAACTAGTTAGTTTAATCTGTAAGATCTTTTTAGCCATAGCCGTGAACTGTACACAATTCGTTTCACATTGTTTGTGAAATTTGCATGGACATCTACATTTTGCAGTATTATGCAAAATTAAATACTGATATTTTCAAATAATTATTAATGCAGTAATTTAAGAATTAAAAATGATGAATGGTTGTTTTACTTGCAAATGAGTAAATAAAACGTGAATTTATTTATAAATCAATAATATGTAATAATAAATAACATTTCGTGAGTTGAATTACGTGATGTGTAATACAAATTCGTCAGATTGTTGATAATTAAGTCCTTTAGTTATTTAATTAATTACTTAACAATTCTAATTTATTTTTTTGCAACAAAACGTATTGTTTTTTTTTCAGTAATATAGTTTAATATAGAGTATACATAAAAAAATAATAATATAAATATATATAGAAGTAACAATAATACAGTATAATAATTAATAAATAATATAATATAATAAAATGATTTTCTCAAACCAAAAATTTCAATTTAACAATCTGACAAATGTTGAGCCGCCAAAATATCAGCGCTGCAGCTCGAGTCTTGTCTTGTCTCTGGAATTTCCGAAATATGCGAGGCCCGTGCATTGTCTGGCAATTCGCAGTTGTCACTTGGCGGGCTATCAGTAAGGAACTTCTGCGGAATCTTGAGAAGGATCTTCGCTGCCGCTATATACCACAAGCATTTCCCCGTTTCATGAATCATTATAAGTTGAATAATTTGCAGAACTCCTCAACAATAATGCATAATTTACTTTGAATATTTTTTTTACTTGAATTCATTTAAACACATGTTAAAATAATATTTCTATTTACAATAGAATTTTAAAAAAGATAGGTTCGACTGATTTGTCAATGTGCAAATAGGTACATAATAATTTGGAATATGAAAAAAATCTTCTAGACTATGGTTATTGCAATTTTTTTATACTGCGTCTTTATCATTTATATATTATAAAGCTGAATTTCATGCGACTTGTGAAATTGGACTGTTCGCAATTACTATATCATTCGCGTCATTTGCTAAATGGCATTGTTAGGAGAAGCACGTACAACGTACGTGCATTACTATTATTTTGTTAGCATCCCAGCTAGATCTCAAGAACGATGGATCCCAACCATTACTAGTATTGACTGACTTCTTGACCCTAAAATCGAAACGAGATATCTTCAGTAATGATTGTGGGATCTGCTAGAATCCTGATTTGATCAGACATCTGACAATCCGAATGACCGCGATAAATGTGGGAACATTCGGATGTAAGTCACATAAAATAAAATATAAAATCGCTAAAAAGACAGTAGTTTTATTTAAATTACTCTACGTATTTTTTCAACAACTTCTCATTTTTGTTTTGTCACTAATTAATTTCCAACGAGCGCCCCTGCTACGGAGAAACTGAAATTAAAATTAAATTAATTTGAGATTAATTGATGAATAATACAGTTTTGTTTTAATTTTTCCAGAAAAATATGCATTCCTAATAAACTGACTGTGTATTTTTCA